GGTACAGGCAGAGACCGTAGAACTGAACGGATCCTGGTGCTATTGTTGATTTCCTTCCTCATGGTGGCCTCCATTCTCTCTAACTGTTGTTTTGTTTTGTTTTTTACTCTGTATAATTAATTTATTAATTATTAGTTCTTTCAGTGCCATGCTCAGTAATTTTTTTATTTTTAATTAAAATATAATTTTATGCCCAGCTGGCATGGCTCAGTAGTTGAGCATCAACCTATGAACCAGGAGGTCACGGTTTGACTCCCAGTCAGGGCACATTCCCAGGTTGCCAGCTGATCCCCAATAGGGGGTGTGCAGGAGGCAGCTGTCAATGATTCCCTCTCATCGTTGATGTTTCTGTCTCTCACTCCGTCTCCTTTTCCCTCTGAAATCAATAAAAATATATTTTTAAATTAAAAAAATATATAATTTTATATTTATTTTCATTTTTTATTAAATTTATTGTGTTAATGGGATTATATAGGTTTCAAGTGTGCATCTTATTAGCTGCTTCTTTTCTCCTTTTAAAGATTTAGCAGCTGAATATTATAAAGAGAGAAAAAATATTTTTTATTATTAATAATTGTTCACAATAATTGTTTTTATGTAGTCTTTCCAGTAGAGTCCAAACACATGTTTTGTCGGACCTAAGTCATCTCCTGCTTTAAATTTTAGGCTCTCACCTTAAATTATATCTGACCTGTAGATTCCTAAAAATAAAAGAAAATGCCCTACAGATACGATTCTCATTCTACATATTTTCGGATAAAAATCTAAAATTCAGAGTCTGCACGTGTTGCTAGTATATTTAAAATACCCCAGCATGAAAGCTTATCAGTGTTTAGGAACCTGCTTGATTGGTTTTTATAAGTTTGTATTTTAAAATTGCACAAAATATCAATGAATGAATTCAGGAGACTTGTGTCTTCAGAATGATGATCAGAACCGCAAAATGTAAACATCTAGCAAGGTATTGATTGTAAGAGACTTGGAAATAGACTGTCACAAATGTTGTTTATTTTTCCCTAAATTATAGCATTATTATAGACACCACAGAAAGCAATAACTCCTTATGTTGTGATATCAGAATCTCGTATGACAAATGGCCTGACGTTTTCTAGGGCTCAGCGACAGGTAGGGAGTTTGTGTTGCTTCCTATCTCACTCTTCCCAACATTAACCTAAATTAAGTCCATTCTTTTAAAAGAATAACACCACCAGTTGTGCCAGTGGAAGGACAAAAGAACGTGGGACCTGAGAGAATAGGAGATGCTCTGTCCCTTACCTGATGGTTTGTTATTTAAGACTGTTCTTCTCAGGAAGTCCTTTCTCCCAATATTGACCCGCCCAGGTGTTCCGTTCCCCGCACCCTGGGGGCCAGTGGGCCTAAAGTTAGAAGAAATCAGTCTTTTTTTCCACCCACCCTCAATGTCAGTCAGCCGCCAAATATAGGCTTCTGAAGGACAGTGCTGGCCACTGTGGGTACTAAACAGCTCCCCTCCCTGAAACTTACCTCTGGTGGGGATAGTACACTATTTCATGCACTGAGCTGCTCACTGCAGGAGGTGGGGAGACCAGGATTCCCTCTGAGGAAGATGGATCAGAATCTCATGCAAAGGCCTCTCCTATCTGCAAATTCTCCCGGACCCTCTCTCGGGAGGTCCTCTCACCTATACCGTTCTAGTGTGAGAACCACTGCTACCGCCCGAAAGGTGTCACTGAGGGGAGGGAGAGGCCCCTGTGAGCAGTTAAGAGGCAGGGGAAAGGCTGTGAGTTATTACTCTCCAGGATGTTGTAGCACATGCTCCGATACACGGGCTGCCACACGACTAGAGACAAAAATAAGTAGAAATACCACAGGACCACATAAATATATAATGTCTATTATATGGGCTTTGAGAGTTGGTATTTAGTATCAGGGATCCTTAGATCCGAAGCCTGCTGGGCCCTCTGAAATACAGGGCTGTTAAATTACAGTAGTTCCCCTCCTATCACACACATTCCAAGACCCCCAGTGGATGCCTGAAACGGAGGATAGTACAGAACCCCACATACACTGTTTCTTCCTATACATACCTACCTATTATAAAGTTTAATTTATAAATTAGGCACAGTAAGAGATTAATAATAACATGATGAAATAGAACAGTTGCAAAAATATACTATAATAAAAGTTATATGAATGTGATCGATCTCTCTCAAAATATGTTATTGTGCTATACTCCCCTTTCCACTTAAAGGAAGCGCTTTACGGCTTCTCTTTGGCATATTTGCATTGCCAGCATTACTACTCTTGAGTTTTGATAAAATCAGGGTAACTGGAACACCAGCACCATGATGTTGCAACAGTTGATTGATAACCGAGATGACTACTAGGTGACTGGTGGGTGGGAGCGCCTACAGCATGCAGATACTGGGCAAAGGGATGATTAACGGGGGGAAGCGGGGGAGGACAGTGTGAGATTTCATCACCCTGCTCAGAATGGTGCACAGTTTAAAACTTATGAATTATTTATTTCTGGAACTTTAATTTAATATTTTCAGACCATTGTTGACTGAGTAACTGAAACCACAGAAAGTGAAACCACAGATAAGGGGGCTACTATAGGTGAACATTAGATGAAGCCACAGGTGATGGTACCAGTCTTGTCCCTGGACTGGTGGGTAGGAAAGTGAGCAGAAAGTGATGAGAAATCTACAGCTTTACCAAGTGAACTGGCCCAAAAAAAAAAAGTATGCCCCAATATGCATTTATTGGGGTTCTAGGAAACTGGGAATGGGGGTGTCATATGCAGTAATTTTCTGGAGAGCCTGAGCTATTTCGTTCCTAAATTGGGCTGAGACTAAGCCTGCAGATAGGACAAATGTTGAGGAACCTAACAGTCAAGAGCTAGGTCAGGAAGGCAGCAAGAAGGAAACACGAAGTAAAGACTGACAAATGCATACAGTCCCGAGTTATAAAGGCCACCAGACAAATCATATCTGTGTTTATAGCTGAGGAGGTTACAATTAGATCTGAGGAGGTGAGTCAGGAATGGAGCATAACTGAAAAAGCAGATACAGTCTGTTTATGACAAGCTCTTGGCTTGGAATTTAGTAAGGAGGAGCCAATAATTACAACTACGCTAGTAGCAAGTTCCATTTGTTAACTCTATAGATTTTTTTAAAAATATTTTTATTGATTTTTAGAGAGAGAGGAAGGGAGAGGGAAAGAAAGAGAAGCATCCATGTGAGTGAAACATTGATCTGCTGCCTCCTGCACGCCCCCTACTGGAGATTGAGCCCAAGTGCCCTGACAGGGAATCAAACCAGCAACCTTTCGGTGCACAGGCTGATGCCCAACCAACTGAGACACACTGGCCAGGGTACTTGATAGTTTTTCAAGTGTGTTTTACATATCATCCCATTCACTTCTGTCGAAGTTTTTTTATGTATAGAAGGCACGTACTAAGTCTTAAAAACTTGATGTGACTTGCTCTGTCTCCTACTTCTGCTAAGTGGCTGGGCTCAGGCTTGAACTACACAGGTCATCTCCATTCCACTGGGAAAGATACACTCGGGGGCTCTCATCACAAGAGTGGCAAGATTCGCAGCACCTGCGTAATTTCCCTAACTTTATTTTCTAGGTTCTCATGTGCAAATTAAACTTTACAGGTTTCCAAAATACTGTGTAAAATACCTTTTTACAAAAAATAATAGTAGTAATAAAAGAGGCAGCAAAATTTACCAAGATCATGAAAGCAGGTTGATTCTGAGTACTAAATTGATTTACGGTTTTCTTTATTTGCATTTAATTGCAGTGATAACATGCAGTGTAAACAAGGATATAATTTATTCAGGTACAGATAATTGGTACATGGTTTCTGTGTTGTTTTCTAACAAGTTGCCGATATGTATCTGCTATGCTTTAAACCTCTTTTGGTGTTCTTGAAACAACTGTAAGATGTGTATTGACAAATATGCATCTGTTTCTTCGGGGAGAATTTTCCATGTTGGAATGTTTTCCGGGCCTGAAGGCTGCCTTGCACATTTTAATCCAGGAGCACATGGTATTCACCTCTGTACCAGATGAAAGGGTGGGCGGCCACTGGAATTCTGGGTGCCTGGTAGGATGCCTTGCCTCTCTGCCTTAAGCAGCTAAGCGCCTTCTACAAGACAGGGACCAAATCTTTCTGGTTACTTTAAATGTGAATGTGACAAGAGGTGGAGCAGGACAGGAGTCAAGGTGGTCATTCTAGAGCAGTGGTTCTCAACCTTCCTAATGCCGCGACCCTTTAATACAGTTCCTCATGTTGTGGTGACCCCCAACCATAAAATTATTTTTTCGTTACTACTTCATAACTGTAATTTTGCTACTTTATGAATCGTAATGTAAATATCTGATATGCAGGATGTATTTTCATTGTTACAAATTGAACATAATTAAAGCATAGTGATAAATCACAAAAACAATATGTAATTATATATGTGTTTTCCGATGGTCTTAGGCGACCCCTGTGAAAGGGTCATTCGACCCCCAAAGGGGTCGAGACCCACAGGTTGAGAACCGCTGTTCTAGAGTGTCACAAGCGAGCAGCCCTAGCAGGTTAGACGCCTCTCTGTTCCTTCTTCAAATGTGTGCAGGTGACTGTGCTACTGAATTCGGAACAGCAGACCCTCCGTCTTCCTAGTTTGGGGAATCTCTTGAGTAGAAAGTGATTGTGTCATAGGACATAGCAATTTCATAAACTAGAAAAAACGCTTTTCGGGGACTAGTGTAAAGCCACTAAACTCATTTCCTCGGCAGCCTGAGAGGGAGCCGAGCTGCAGGTTCTGGAGGCGAAGAGTGAGTGTTCTGGCTCCTGCTGCAGCAGCTTCTCGCGTTCAGGGCCAGTGGGGATGTGCTCCAACTCTTTTACAGTCATATCTGATCCCGCTGGAGACCTAAAAGTCATTACAATAAAAATGTTTCTGTGTCACTCTGTCCTTGAAATCGCACTGCCATTTAATTCACACTTACGTTTGTTGCAGAGAAAGCAGCGGCTGCCAACATAGACGAGGTGCAGAAGTCAGACGTGTCATCCACGGGGCAGGGTGTCATCGACAAGGATGCGCTGGGGCCCATGATGCTGGAGGTAGCACACCTCGTTTGGTTCTGTAGTTTACAATGTTGTCCATCTTTTCACATGATTACATTCATTTTCAGGTGAACCTAATTTAAGGATAATGCAGTTAATTTTCACTCCTGAGATCGAAGTACTGCTTACCTCTTGGGTTTATTAACATGTCTCTCTCTCTTCTGGCTCCCGATTCCAGCAGATCTACATTTCAAATGAATGATCTAGAATGAAACTGACTAGACCAGAATATAAATTAACAGGCTTTCACTGCCAGTTGAGCATTCATTTTGGAAAATCATGTTCACAATTCCTGTTAAATTCTGATATATTTCAGTTTGAAATTTTCCCCAAATTCTTAGATTTTATGTATGTCATATACATATGCCTTATATATATATACAGGTTAAAATTTGAGAGCCAGAAAAAGGTTTATGCTTTCTATTTAGGCAACTTCAAACTTGTTTATCTCATAAAGATAAAAACTGAATAGGCAGAACTTTTCAGATAAGGATCACAATTGTAATGGTTGGTCTTAACTGCTTGCTCTTTATTAACTTGAGGGAGTTTTATGATCAGACTGCTGTCTAGAATTTGTAAAGTCCAGCTTTCCTATTTTATTAACTAGCACAGTATTTAACACCCAGTACTGTGCTGTACCTATTCCAGAATTAAATCCAAGGTGTAGGCTATGGTAAGATGAGGGGGAAATAGCAGCAAACATATCACAAGAAGCAGAGGGGCCCTGAGACATAAATTATGTCAGTTCTCAGGATAATTCTCTCTGCTGATAGGATGAGATTGAAAAGCGCCACATGCCCAGAAGCTTCGCAGCAGCCACATACATATAAGAAATTGGGATTTTTAATGCAAAGATAACCAGTAATCACTTTTTTTTTTCAATTGGTTCATAAGATGATTTTTACTTTTAGAAAATTGAATTCTGTGAATATCTACCATATAATTGGAAGGTGGGGGGTGGGCACAGAAAAAATATATATAAGATTGTCTGACGCAGTCTTTGTAGTATTTAGAAATGACTAAGTTCATTCTCTGGGGCTGGACCTGCTGCCAAAAGACTCTAAGTGACCCATGTTGGCCCTTGCTTGTTTCTCTTGATTCACTGGCTTGAAATCCTCCAACTACAATTTTCAGGGAAAAAGCAAAAACATTGAACCTGCTTTTCCAGAGTCAACAGGCAAGGAAAGGCCAGATAGCGGCTTCCCGCTTGGTTCTTAGAAGCAAATAAGAAAATTCTAGGTGGACTGTTTAGAATTAGACGAAAGAAAGGAGATAACTTCTGTGAAAAACATCTTGGATTACAAATAAAATTGATTTGAAAATTATAGTAATCCAAGTTATTATAATTAGGAAACTTTCATATGTCTGTGTTTATTCTTTATATCAGAAAACAAAAATTAAGGTAGGGTGGGAACTCCTGGGAAAATTTCTAAGCTGCTAAAAAGAAATGCTTAGAGTAACCACAAGGCTGTGACTCAAACCCTTTGAGAGCACCTTCATTAAGTGTAGAAATCAGATTGCTAGATGTCCGTGGGCCTTATCTCATAAAAGTAAACCACATTTTTGCTGTTTCAAAATAGTCTTCTGAAATCCAGTGCACTGAGCAAATCCCAGTGTGGCTGGGCGTTACTGCTGAATCTGTTCGAGAGGTAATGCTTGAATCTGGTGACTTAGCGTTTGGATCTCAGTCTTCATCTCTGTTAGCATGTCATTATAATTTAAACAGAGAAAACTTGTTCTTGTCGAGCTGTTCCTAGGCATAGATGCACACTCATGCTTACATCATAGCGTAGTGGTTGCTAGGCAACAAAACCCAATGTCAGCTTTTTTCATCAGAGCATTTCGTAGTGAGCTTTTAAAAACAACACAGACAGTTTTACAAGATGAAACATTTTCCTCTTTCAGTTATATTAAGCCACATATCAGTCTTTCTGCCAGAGTACAAAAGCAAAAGGAAGCTACACGCACTTTCGAAAGTGAACTCTACATAATGTAATTATGAAAATCCCTGATGAATTTGTATCTAAAGCGATGAGCTTAAAAGGACACTTGGTACATAAGTAATCAGCTGACTTCCTGTCCCCCCTCACAGACACACAGGGTTGTACACACACACACACACACACACACACACACACACAGGGTTTTCCAGGGTTGGTGCCAACCTATTCTGGAAGGCCATTTACATATAGTTTTTCTTTGCCCCAGCATATTGCTTATACCATTGGTAAGTTCTAATTTGAGAGAGCTCTTAGTTTTGTGATAAAAATTGAATTAAAGCTGGAATATACTTAAAGAACACTCACAAAATATGAGCCTGTAAAATAATAACTTAAGGAAAAAAAAACTAGGGGAAAAGTAAACATTGCCCCATACATACATACTATACCAATATGTACATGTAATATTCATGTTGAAAACAGTTGTAAACGCATAGCATGGAGAAAGTGTATGGCATCAACTGGGTAGACCAGGGGGTGCTTCTCCAGGGATGCCTATCAATATCAAGCCTTTTCTAGTCCTGATCACTCACCTGACAGCTCTGACAAGCAGGGCTCAGGAAGGGAAACTCACTGAGCTCCCAGCCTGAGGAGACACACTGGGAAAGGGCCTGGGGTGAGCGCGGGGTAGAGCACTCACTGTGTCGTCATCCAGGCACAGCTCTGGAGGCAGGCGCACCTGCACTAACTCCCACCCGCCTGCCGGTTCCCTCCAGAGCTGTAATAGTAAAATGGGAGTGTGTTTAAGCACAGGAAACATGCTCACTAGCTACCGTTACTATCTTTATTTCCTGAAATGATCCTAGATTCCTCATCTCCTTCCCTAATCTAGATTGAAATGACAAGGAAGACTAAGGCTATGTACCCATTACAGGAAAAATGCTACTGTTATCTAGATGATGTAGGAGCCTGCATCCCGTAGACGGACCAGTTAACTTTCAGTTCGCACTGTCACAAACCAGAGCCTCGCGTCTCAGGACAGTGCCAGCCACATCTATGCCTAAGGTTCCGACAAAGACTGGTTTGTCACATCAGAGAGATTTCTCAGACTCTGTCCCCATATACGTCAAACAGTAAAAGACTGATGTTTCTCCAAAGGTCTGAGATCATCTGCAATTCTTTCCATTTAAACCCGGTAGCTTTAAAGGTAGTAAAATTGGGGGTTGGGGTGATTCTTGGCATTTATCCTTAAATTGGGAGGGAATTATCAGTGACCCCTTCCGTTGTATTGGGAGACTGTACAACATTACTTTGTATTTGGGTTGGTCACAAACTTGTTGTTGGCCCTCTGGAATAGGGCCACCTCATTTTGAAAATACAGATAAGTACCTGTAGTTTTACTTGGCAATAATTACCTCCTGGTAAATTACCGGAGTGAGTGTTTGTCATTTAGTTTGTGACAAGCAACCTGATCTGGGCTCTCTCCCACCTACTAAGATGAAGTAATTTCACCAACAGAAAACGTTGTTTCTGAAAACTAGGAGAGGGCGAGAGAGATCGCTTTTCTAGCCATGTGTGAATTATATAATTCCCTTAAAGGATCATTCCCTTCTCAACAATTGCATATGGTTCTATGTCATATCTTTTCTAACACAATCCATGTCTTTTCCCTCAGGCCCTTGATGGGTTCTTCTTTGTAGTGAACCTGGAAGGCAACGTTGTGTTTGTCTCAGAGAATGTGACACAGTACCTAAGGTATAACCAAGAGGAGCTGATGAACAAAAGTGTATATAGCATCCTGCATGTTGGGGACCACACTGAATTTGTCAAAAACCTGCTGCCAAAGTCTATAGGTAAAGGATTGTCTGCTGGGTCTCTCCTCACTCCCCTGCCCTCCCCCAGTGCACACATCGTCCCGGTTAGAGGGCTGAGAGAGAACTGGAATGTGTCACCGGGGCGTCTAGAGGTGCTGTGTTAATATTGAAGCTTAGGAGCCATGGAGAAAAGGGCATCGGCAGACATTGATCTTGATTGACCGTTTCGGTCCTATATTTAAAGTACATGAAAATAATTCCGCTGGCAAGTACTCATGGCAACTGTTTTCATGGGGTTTGTTTTGTTGTTGTTATTTAAGAAGCTGCCAAATTGCCTCCCACTCTACCCAGTGCCAGCGACTATGTTGTCCTTTTCTCCATGACTGTCTAAGAAGTAGAAGGTCATAAGAAGTTTGAGATTGAACCTATTTCAAGTCCGACTGGTGAAAAAAGTCTGGACGTGGGTGCGTACAGCTTTCTAAAAGTAAGATGTTCAGAAACGAGTGGGTGTCGAGGGCTCGCATGCTCTCAGCCCCAGAGCTCCAAATGGGCTCTTCCATTTCACAGACGCAGCGGCCCAGCACGTGTCTCCATCAGGTACTGCCTCCTTAGCCCCTCCCTGTGCCCAACTCCTGGCTTCCTCACCTGCGCTGTTGGTGATCATTAAGGCCCATATTAAACTGGGCGGTTCACAGCGTGGGCCCACTCTATTTGCTGCTCTGTAGTATGGCTGTTCCCGCTTACTAAGTGGTTCTTTTTAAAATATTCTCACTTAAACTGATGATGCTAAGAACATCTTCACGGAGAAAAAGAAGTGCATATTTTAAGAGAGAATAAGGTCAAGTCCTGAGTTAGCAAGTATTTCTGTTCTTTTTCTTAAGACTATTTATATTAACTGGTTTTATCGCTACCACAGTAAATAGGCAAAGGTCTTTTCAAATTCCATTATGGCTGGCCTTTCCCTGATATGATAACCCCGTATTCAAAGTGACTTGCAAGAGTAATACAGAATATATGAATACTAGTGTGAGATTCTTCTATTATATTGTCTAGTAAATGGGATTTTTTATTTCAAGTAACTAATATTTTCAAATCTCTTCAGTAATTTTATGACTTCCTCAAAGGACCTATACTTATTAATTCACTATTATTAATACACTTGTCTAAGGAGTTCCTTGCCTTACTTTATATTGTATTTTTTTATACTTTCAAATTACTTATTAACCTGAGTTAATAAGAGCTCCTTTTCCTTTGATTACTCTGTGTAGTCCTCATTATGTAAATAAGCTTGTAAGAATGCTGGTGATGAAATTGACTTCTCAAATGTCTGCATCGACGTATAAAGTTAGCTCTGGTTCCTTCTGTAATTCTAAAATGGTTTCTTGCCGTTAACTTGATAATTGCCTTTTTCTCTCTAGCATGCGTTTCCTTTTTTACTCCTTTACAGCCCAGTGGCTGTAGGATTAACATCGCATTCGCCGAAACACCCATGACATCTAGTTGGCCCATTCAGTGCTTTCTAACCAGTGACTTTTTCTTTTTAAATATATTATTACTGATTTCAGAGAGGAAGGGAGAGGGAGATAGAAACATCAGTGATGAGAGAGAATCAGTGATTGGCTGCCTTCTGCACAACCCCTACTGGGAATCAAGCCCAAAACCTGGGGATTGAACTGTGACTTCCTGGTTCATAGGTTGATGCTCAACCACTGAGCCATGCTGGCTGGCTAAAAGTGAACCAGGTTTTGGATTCAATCCCCCATCAGGGTACATACAGGAGGTGACCTATGGATGTTTCTCTCTCACACAGATGTTTATCTCTCTCTCTCCCTCTCCCTTTCTCTCTCTAAAATCAATTTTTAAAAAATTTTAATGCATGCTATAGTTGGTACCACTTACAGATTTTTGAGTAGGGGCAACATGTAAAATTGGAATGCAAGTAGATTCAAATAAATTTCCAAGAAATCAAAGTTAGAAAAACCTCAAAATGGAGAACTATAGTATTCTGTTAATAAATAGTCAAGATCTGAACTTGAAGGGAAGGGTAAAAAGACATTCTGAAAATTCCTAGAATTTTCCCAAGATGAAACATTCACCCAAGAATGTTTCCCCTCTAGATTATGAAATTACAATAGAAAAGGATAAGCGCTATATAAAAATAAAATGACTCTAAGCTTCCTGTATATTCTGATAATTTGGCAGTGGTGAGTCTCACGTTGGTTTCTTTATAATTTCGGATTTCTTTGCCTTGCTCAGTGAACGGGGGATCTTGGTCTGGCGAACCTCCCAGGCGCAACAGCCATACGTTCAATTGTCGGATGCTGGTGAAACCTTTGCCTGAGTCCGAAGAGGAAGGTCATGATAACCAGGAAGCACATCAAAAATATGAAACTATGCAGTGCTTTGCTGTCTCTCAACCAAAGTCCATCAAGGAAGAAGGAGAAGGTAGGATGAAATCTCTAGTATATTTTATATATTCGTGTATTTATTACTATGCTGCTTCTTCCACACTTAATAATATAAAATTAGTGGCCACACAAAGAAAAATTTAGAGATGTCTTTTTTGTTTGTTTTTTCCACCTACTTAAGAATTTTTATGATAAATTTTATTTGTAAGTCTTTAAAACAACTCAATAGACTTTTCTGCAGTGACGGCATTGTTTTGTATCATCAATGTCCAGCATAGCAGCCATGTGGCTATTGAGCATTTGAAATGCGATTGGGAGACTGAGTTTTTCTCTTTTATTAAATTTACATTAAATAGACAGGTGTGGCTAATGGCTGCCCTGTTAGTGGCTGAACCTCTGGGGGAGCCTGGACTCCTGGGATGAGCTGCTGTGAGCTGTGAGCCTAGAAAAGTGCACATGGTACAGAGAGCGTTTTCATGTACAGTGGACCCTTGAACCATTCGGTGGTTGAGGCGCTAATCCCTGCATCATCAAAATTCCACGTATAACTTTCGACGTTCCAAAAACAGTTTTAATTAATAGCCTAGTGTTGATCAGAAGCCTTACCGATAATAGTCAATTAGCACATAATTGTATATTGCTTGGATTATATCCTTGCAATAAAGTGAGCTAGAGAAAAGAAAATGCTATTAAGAAAACCATAGGAAGAAAAAATAAGTTTACAGTACTATATGTATTTACTGAAAAATAATCCATGTCTAAGTTGGGCCTCTGCAGGGGAAACTGGTGTTGTGTAAGGGTCAACTGTACTTCAAGGGATTAGTGGATTCCATATAGTTTATCCATGGATGCTGGGTCCACAGTGATACTTAAGAGAGGATACAGATGGGAGTGGGGAATGGAGGGGGTTTCAGACTCTAAGTTCTTAGGCTCTTCCCCTTAAAGAGAAGCTGGTGTATAGTATCCACCCCTGCACCCTCCAAGCAAACCATTCACAGCTGAGGGTCACGCTGTAATATGAGACATGCCTAGAGTGCGTTCTGCATGCGTAGAGAAGGGGGAGCTGAGGACCACGTGGGCAGAAGCATCATTCTTAGGCTCTACTTAGCTCTCTGAACAGGAGTTTGCTCTAGAATCAAGCGAAGTCAACAGTAGCAGTGTCAGAATGTAATAAGGATTACATGGCTGTGCCTGAACCATGATTGGCGTTACGTCTAGTTATTTAGTCCCTTTAAAAAAATATGTAAGTAATTTTTAATTTAAATTGTATTAGGAAGTAATAGAGCTGTCATAGACAATACATAGTTCTTCAAAATTAAGTTTATACATAGGTATGGAATGTCGAAAGATTTTATTCACTTGTATGTGACAGAGTAAGTACTGCTGATTCATCCATCTATGATAATATTCAAAAGTAGTATAAACAGATATAGCTGAGCTCATTTTGTTTTGGTGTGGTATATTTACTTACTTTGGGACATTTGAAATCTGATTCCGGGTACTAGCTCTCAGTATGAGTAGAGTTTCTGAGCCATGATGCGCTCAGGTTCAGGTCCTGGTTTCACCAAAGTTTTGCATGATGCTGAGCACGTTACTTAAACTTTATGGTTGGTTTTCTCCTCTGTTAAATGGAGGTAATGCTATCACCAACCTCAAAGAGTTGTTAGAGAGTTAAATGAATTGGTAGCGTATAAAAGCAGCTGGACAGATGTCCATCTCATAGTAAGTGCTCAGAAATGTAGTGTTTATTATCTTAAGGATGAGGATTATATTTAATTTGTGATGCCCGTTATTACTGGATATGTCTGAAAAAATTTTTTCCTAAATTTAAAGGTGAATAATCATAAATCCCTAACATAAGATACGAAGAGACTCTTTTTAACAACCTTTTACTCAGCATTTTTTGAAATTGAAAAGGGTTATGTATGCCATGCACTCTGCATGTTACAAAGATGAATGAAACATTTCCTGTTCTCCAGAAGTGGACATAGATGCATAAAACAGTTGCAGTGGGTGTGGAGTAAACACTTAGCACCAGTTCTGTGGGAAACCAGCCACGGCCAAGATTCTGAACTTGGCACACGCTGCATTTTCTAGGATTTGTTCTCCAATTCTGAGTCTAGACCTAGTTCATATTCTTTATTTTAAATTGCATATGGCCACCATAGGGTTATTTACATAGTTTAGTAGAAGATATATCTAGTTTTCCTTGTTGTTGTAAACCTGAAACTCAAGAGGCAACCCCTGACAAAGCAGCGTGTCAGATTTTGGTTTTCATCATTTCTCTACTTTGTTATGAATTCAGCTGGTTGTTAGGGTCTGCCGTTTCATAAGAAAGGATTCCATTCTTCTCCGTCATTGGGTGGACGGTTTCAGGTTGCTAGCGCTAGGACGGTGGATATTCTTTTATCACATGTATCGTGTGGCTTCAGCAGTTTATCCTCAGCTCCCCCGGCTCATCCTACACAGCTCACCCCTCCCCCTCCCAGCTGCTTCCCACTTCAGTGGAGGAGAGCATAGAGCCGGTGAAAAGCAGAGGTACATGGCGTTTTGTCACTCTCTCCCTTGTTGATTTACAAGCTGTGCTGTCATAAATACACTTGAGTTTGTTTGAATCACTAAAAGGCCTAATGTGATAACCCTAAGTGTCTCCGATTGAAGATTTGCAGTCCTGCTTGATCTGTGTGGCAAGGAGAGTCCCCATGAAGGAAAGACCGGTTCTTCCCTCATCAGAAAGTTTTACTACTCGCCAAGATCTCCAAGGTAAATTTTCTTTGCAAAGGAGACCAAAGAAATCATTTTAGATGCTTGCGTATTTGTCATGCAAGGAACGTGCTTAGACGGTGGCAGACGCCGGGACCCGTGGCTGCTGGGTAGACTCACTGAGGAGCTGGAGGGACAGTGATTTTCATTAAATACCCTTTTGGTCCATGTACTACTATAAATAAATAAATTTTCATCTTTTAAAATTTTAATTGTTTCCATAGTAGTGGGTCAGCACGTAGGTATAATGCTTGCTGTATTCACTAGGCAAGATCACATCACTGGACACGAGCACCATGCGGGCCGCCATGAAGCCCGGCTGGGAGGACCTGGTGAGGAGGTGCATTCAGAAGTTCCATGCCCAGCACGAGGGGGAGTCTCTGTCTTATGCCAAGAGGCATCACCATGAAGGTAAGCGCCTCCAAGGGAGAGTTTTCTTGAACTTGATTTTGCTAAACTGCTATTTCCTGCAGGAGCTTTCTCTGAAGCTCACCTCGCAGACTTGGGTCTGGCTACTCTGTGTGTCCGTGTGTGCCATGCCCAGAAAGCCCTGCCTTCTGAAGGACGTTTTCACAGGGTCGCCATAGGACAGGAAAGTGGGATGAGGGACATAGACTTGGACATGATGATTTCACGGAACAGATGAAAGGAAAGGGAAAGAGTTCGTTGTCTTTGATTCTAAGGCTTCTAGGTGTATAAGACAATAAGGTACCATCTAATATCAAAAGAAATGTCTTAATCGTAAGGAGGAAAGAGGAATGAAGTGAAATTTGTGAATTTTTTATTGAAGTGACTAGCCCTCCTTCCAGATGCTGATCACTGAAGGCTACCCAGATGTTTCTGGAAGGGTCAGAAAGATGAGGTGGCTTGCCTGAGGTCATAAATTAATTAATAGGACAGCTGGAACTAAACCCAAGACTTCAGTCATGTCTCAGTGCTAATCGCCCCCCTTATTGAGCACCTGATCTTGTCTGACACTGTCCGTTATCTTCCCGTTATCTCACGGGCCCGCTGTGAAGCAGGCACTGTGACTCCTGCTGCAGACAGCAGCTGGCACAGGTGAGGTGGCAGCTCCTGGGCAGGTAGTAAGTGTGGGCACTGGGCATTCATCTGGCCCATCCTGCCCGTCACTCCACTGTGCTGCCCCCAGAGTTCTTCCACAGAATCCCTTTTCCTCAAGGGCTTCCTGGATGTTTGTTAAATTGATGCAAACAAAGGAGAACTTTGTCTTCCTTGTGGGCACCTATGTCCACAGCTGGGGGCCAGGCTGCTTGTGAGGACCGGGGGCAGGGCAGGGTGCCTCGCCACTCAATTTGGCAAGTTGTCTGCAGTCTTGCAGAGAAAAGTTGTAACTCATTATTGCAAATAGAGTTTTAGTTTGGCATCCTCCGTTTCATGGGCATCCGCAACCTTGGCATTTACCAGTAGTGTTTATATGTTTAAATTTGATGCTCTTAAGCTCGCTGATGAAACGGACAAATCATAGCAAATGACCTCTCTTCTTTCCCTTAGTTTTTCCTCATCCTGTTTATCCTTTTGATCTTATTTATCGTTACTTCTTCTAAAATAAGCACATACTCCAACAATTTGTGTCTTCCAGCATTTTTCTTTTAAGTCAAAAAAAAAAAAAATAAGAGGAAGTAAAAAGGCCATATTTGATAGGAATCAATGCCATTTCACCAGATCTGGTTTAAAATAAAGAGAATAGTAACAGCAAAAAATGAGAGCTCACCATTAGCAAACACGTCCTTGGGCCCTGTGTAGCGATGTCCTACATTTAATTTCTGTGGCTTCCTGATTGCTCACAAAGGGGTTTAGAAGATGTGTTCGGCACTCCGCTCGGTTTCATTAGCTGGGACCCACTGAAAGGAAACTCTGAAATACATTTTATCTAAATGTACAGAGTAGGTAAGATCAAGGGTAATCATTTGCATCGAGTAAAAGTCTACTGGAGGGCTTTGTTTAAATGGAGAGCTTCCTAAATGCTTCCTGTGCACGCTAACACCGGTCTTCTTAGTAAACACCTTTGATGTAGATCAAATGGAAATGGAAACTCTGAAAGGATCACATCCAAGGTCAGATTAAATTCTGAAATTATGAGCCATTGGAAATATGAGTCTTACTATAAAAATTGTATTTATGCTACCTTTTAGGAACATACTTACGTAGAAGGCAAGGTACACATATGAACAGTAGTTCATTTCCAGTGGGACCACTTCAGAGTAACGCACCTGACAGTTGAGGCCAGAATGTAAGACCTTAGTACTGCAGGTAGCAAACTGCAGAGCGGGTTTCTTTAGGGAAAGTGCTCAAAGTGAGATTTTACCACGAAATCAGATCTATAGCAGGTGTCAGCCTCTCTCTTCCTCTCTTCGTCCTTGTGGAATGGTGAACGTTATTGGTCACTTTGGCTTTTCACCCACCAAGTGTATGCTGAGGGTTACTTGGTAAAAAACAGATATGGTCTTCTTAAAATGGCTTAAGAGGTAACTAAATTATATGGCTACTTTTTCTGAAATGAGATCTTTTTTTTAATATGCACTATTTGACAGTTTTAAAATACAGTTGTATTAAAAGATGAGCCATGAAGTTTTATTTTAAGAGAAATTATTTTAACCTAGTTGATCTGTGTTGTATTTTCTGCCAGTATCTTGAAAACAGAAACATCTAATTCTTTATAAAGACCTTAAACCAATTCCATGTCACTAAGATTTGTACTTTTGTTGTTTTGGTTTTCTATTTGGCCTTTTTTTTTCCTCTGAAAAGATTTTCTGATTGTTTATCTTTTACTTCCTGTTGATTTAACCACAGAAATAATGCTTCTTACACACTGAGAAACAGAATTGGGGAATAGTAAAGTGAAATGATGAGTTGAACAGTATGTAACTGAGATGAATATTCAGGGAATATATTTACTGTCCTAAATTTTACTATATTTGTATTAGCTTAAAGGGACATAAAAGGCAGATCGTACACCTAAGAGGTATCATGTTTCTGCATCGTTTTCTAACATTTTAAATAATTGTAAAAGCTTGTTTTGAGCTAATAAATTGTTTGTTTACACTCTTTTAATATCATGAAATATTACAACTCTAACTGCTGGTCGGAAAATATTAAACATAGTGCAGTTTATTACTGGGATTATGTCTTGTCCCGCCCTCACCCCATGTGCTTCCTTAACGTGTGTTCTGTTTCCTTGCTCGCCCGCAGTGCTGAGACAGGGGTTGGCTTTCAGTCAGATCTACCGTTTCTCCTTGTCCGACGGCACTCTTGTTGCTGCACAAACGAAAAGCAAGCTCATCCGTTCTCAGACTACTAATGAGCCTCAGCTTGTCATATCTTTGCATATGCTTCACAGGTAAGCTTAGTTCTAAGAAGTTGTCTTCCCTTCCCGGGTTAAAGGAGATGTTAGAAAAGTCACAAGTCATCCCAGACCCTTTCAGATTTGTTAGACATGTCTGCTGATCAGCCCAGGTGTGTAAAATATAAAATCAAATTGCTGTTAACCAAAAGACATTGCATTATACCAGCTAAGTAGGGCTATGTCTAGCCTGAGTACTAGTGGGTATTTAAACCGGCGGGAAGAACACAGGTTCACGGACTTTGCTCTGCTGTGACTGCCTGCTACATCGGAGAAGGGAAACTGACCAGGTCCCAGGGGTGACACCCCCGGGCAGGAATACTGAAGCCACTAGCATGATTTCTGTTCCTACGTGTTTAAACCTAAAACTGTCAAATATATACACTTGTAAGGAATATTTTAGATTTTTCTCAGGGTTAGATTCTTGACATTACACTTTAAATTAAAGGGTAATAAACATTTCCATAAGAAATGAAAGTAATGAAAAGTAAACTAAACGTTGATTTAAAAAATAAATGTCATGAACCATACTGTTTTAGAGCACAAATTTAGGAAAACGATTGCATTTCAAGTTCTATAAATATTTATGTACGTGCTATATAAAACTTTATGAGATACTATCAGAAGATATATAAAGTTGCTCTGGGAAAGAATTCCCTTTTATTGCATTTCTCAATTATTTACTTTCTTATTTTGGAAAAAAAATAAAAATCAGGCAGCACTGTTTGCCAACTGTTAATAAATCTGACCTCAAACTGAAACAATTTGAAAGTGATTACAGATGTGCCAGATTTCACCCCCTAACTGAAAGCTGATGTTTGACAATTTGTGAAACCTGTTTTGTTTGGGTTTGTGAACACATTTGGTAACTCACAAGTGACTGCCAAGGCTGTAAATTAAAGCTCACAGGGCTTGGAAAATCATCCAGCTCAGAAAACCTGCTTTTGGTCATTAGTAAGGCAGTGGGTGGGGTTATCTAGGAGTTGGGGAATCAGGTCACAAACTAAGGTCACTTTGAAGTCCCCTCCCGTGCTATCTGTTTTGGAGGCTCTTGCTTTGACATACAGGGGACCTGGGTGTGGGGCTCTGTTTAAGTGACCTGATTCTAAACAGTTTTGGTAACTTTATTGGCTCTGGAACTTGTAGTGTTCCTAATAGTTAGGGGCAAGTTTTTCCCACTCAGTTTGCTGTTCATCTTGAGCCAATTCGTCCACATCAGAGCTCTCCAGACTTACAGATGTGTCTATTGTTAGGAATTATGAGCTCTGGTAAATAACTGAAGGCAGCTATACTTGTTTGGGTCATTTCTGTAGGATTGTTCAAGTCCTCAGTTATTCATGGTAAGATAGTGTTAAGTGAGAAAGATATATAATTAATTGGAACCCCTTAATAACTACAGTTTCAGTGTGCTAGCAGTTAGATTTAAACACGCCCCTCCTCTGGAAAACCGCAGACATCTTAATGAGCTGACTGAAAACATCCCTCTTGGCCCAACACTAAACATGTTCAGTCTTGCCCATAATTGCAGATTGTTTCATCAAAGTATTATCTTTCCTTTAAGTATAGCTCATTCTTTTAAAGAAAAGAGGCCATTTCATTTTTCAAAATTAATAACAACTTGCTAAGTGTTTTGCCTTTTATCTTATATTTTTTCCTCATTATACAGAGAGCAGAATGTGTGTTTAATGAATCCGGATCTGACTGGACAAGCAATGGGGAAGCCATTGAATCCAATTAGCTCCAGCAGCCCTGCCCATCAGGCCATGTGCAGCGCGAACCCAGGTCAGGACATGGCCCTTGGTAGCAATATGAATTTCCCCATAAACGGCCCCAAGGAGCAAATGAGCATGCCCATGGGCAGGTTTGGTGGTTCCGGGGGACTGAACCATGTGTCGGGCATGCAAGCCACCACTCCTCAGGGTAGTAACTATGCACTCAAAATGAACAGTCCCTCACAGAGCAGCCCTGGCATGAATCCAGGCCAGCCCACCTCCATGCTTTCACCGAGACATCGCATGAGCCCTGGGGTGGCTGGAAGCCCCCGAATCCCACCCAGCCAGTTTTCCCCCGCAGGAAGCTTGCATTCCCCCGTGGGAGTTTGCAGCAGCACAGGAAATAGCCATAGCTACACCAACAGTTCCCTCAACGCACTTCAGGCCCTCAGCGAGGGGCACGGGGTCTCTTTGGGGTCATCGTTGGCTTCGCCGGACCTAAAAATGGGCAATTTGCAAAACTCCCCAGTGAATATGAATCCTCCCCCACTCGGCAAGATGGGGAGCTTGGACTCCAAAGACTGCTTTGGGCTGTATGGGGAGCCCCCTGAAGGCCCAGCTGGCCAGGCAGAGAGCAGCTGCCATCCTGGAGAGCAAAAGGACACCAGTGAGGCCAGTGGACCCCAGGGTGTGAGCAGCGAGCGAGCTGACGGGCAGAACAGACTGCATGACAGCAAAGGACAGACCAAACTCCTCCAGCTGCTGACCACCAAATCCGACCAGATGGAGCCTTCACCGCTGTCCAGCTCTTTGTCGGACACAAACAAGGACTCCGCGGGTAGCTTGCCCGGTTCCGGGTCGACACATGGGACCTCGCTCAAGGAGAAGCATAAGATTTTGCACAGACTCCTGCAGGACAGCAGTTCTCCTGTGGACTTGGCTAAGTTAACAGCGGAAGCCACAGGCAAAGAGCTGAGCCAGGAGGCCAACAGCACAGCTCCTGGTTCAGAGGTGACTGTGAAACAGGAGCCAGTGAGCCCCAAGAAGAAAGAGAATGCACTACTTCGCTATTTGCTGGATAAAGATGATACTAAAGACATTGGCTTACCGGAAATAACCCCCAAACTTGAGCGGCTGGACAGTAAGACGGACCCTGCCAGTAACACAAAGTTAATAGCTATGAAGACCGAGAAGGAGGAGATGAGCTTTGAGCCTAGTGACCAGGTGAGTTTTATAATGTATTCCCCGAGGCTACTAACCCATATCCATTAAGGATTTTCTCCACAGGGGCATTTTGAGGCCACAGGTGATGAGATAAAAATAAGTTTTCTCTAATTTTCTCACTTGATTGAAACAGTTCCAAATACTCTATCTAGTAATGAGTGACATTACCATAGGGCAGGGTTGACTGCCTGTTTTTGGAAAGGGCCAAATGGTAAATATTTTAGGCTTTGCAAGCTACGCAGTCTGTGCAGTGCGGACACAGACACTGAACACAAGCGGTGTGCTGTGCGCCAGGCCCCGATACTCGAGTTTGACCCGATTGACATCCATTCTTAGCTCGTGGGCCCCACAAAAACAGGCGGTGGCCCGAGTGGCCCACAGGCCAGCTGTAGTTTGACCCCTGTTAGCAGACGATGCCGAAATTGGGGATAATCACTTCCTCAAAGTGGGGGCCTTGTCAGTACAGACTGAATTAAGTTATTTATTTACCTTTCTCATTTTAAGATCAGGGTTTGACTGGTTTTTCAAACCTAATGAAAATCATTGTAACTCTGTTCTCAACCAAAACTTCTGATTCACACTAAAGAATTTCTTAGACCATCCGTATAAAAGGTATGTAAGGGCCAATGGATAGTAAAAAAGGAGAGGTCAAGTTTGACTTGATGTTAGTAGAGCTGAGCCATCATATATAAATGCAAACCTGAAGTAATCGGTTGTGTTATCTGCTGTTCTTATCTGAAGATTTAATTCTTTGAAAAAATCCAGGATAGCTAAGTGATAATTCAAAATCATTCCTGATAATACTCTGAGGACATAATGACATCACAAGGAAAGTGTAAATCATTTAATATTTTCTTTATTTAAAAAAAAAAGTTATTACTGACACAGTGGCTTGGCATAAGGTGTTTCCGGCTGGGTTAATGAACCAAGACCCCACCCTGCTCTCTCCACTCTCCTCCAATCCCTGGCTCTGCCCTGGGCCTCACGCCTTGTAAGACGTGAATGGTTAAGAAGAGAAGGAGCAGCCCTAACCGGTTTGGCTCAGTGGATGGAGCGTCGGCCTGCGGACTGAAGGGTCCCAGGTTCGATTCCGGTCAAGGGCATGTGCCTTGGTTGCAGGCACATTCCCAGTGGGTTTGTGGGTTTGTGCAGGAGGCAGCTGATCGATGTTTCTCTCTCATCGATGTTTCTGGCTCTCTATCCCTCTCCCTTCCTCTCTGTAAAAAATCAATAAAATATATTTAAAAAAAAAAAAAAAAGAAGAGAAGGAGCTACGTGGGCTTTTCTACTTAAAATGGTTCGCTAATTTGTCCTTGACACTTGTTTTGTAAGTGGATCTGATGTGTGCCACTGTCTTCGGGGACTAGGTGTGCATGGGAACAGGAGAGGGCAGCACCCCTGCCATGTGTAGCCTTGAACCTGCTGAGTCAGCAGAAGCTGGTGCAGGCGGGTCTGGATGGAGAGCAGGATTCGGGGGAGTCGGGGCTGCACATGCTTGCAGCTGGGCTCTGTCCGGGTTTCTAAGCACTTGGCTTCCTTTATTTCTTTCACTTTGATGTCTTGACAGCTGCTACCATTCCTGTGAGGCAGAGATGATTTTCAAGCCTCTGTGTCCTTCACAAGGCAAACAGCCTAAGAATATAAACCTTCTTGGTAATTAACCCTTAAACTTCGATGTTAGTGCAGAATTCTATATAGCAGCTATTTTGTAATGCTGTAAAATCATAAGGTGGGGAAACCGAGGGCTCCATGGAAAGTTAATAGCAATATCTTACATAAAGAATGCTGTAAGGCCATTCTGACAGCTGTGGATGTTTTAATCTTTTGGGGTTTACTAGATTAGAATATACAGAGCTAGTGGCAGTTCAGGGTGGCAAGCACACATACTGTCACTCAAGTCTCTTGACACACGCTAGAGGGCAAGGTGACTCTCGAGGTCTACCTTAGCTCAGTAGCTCCGTGGTAGGCCCCTCCTTCCAGAAACACAGTTTGTTTCTGTCCCAGGCCTGAGGCCCTAGGACTTAGAGGGCCAGAGAAGAGGGACACTGCTTGGCATTTCTATGTTTGGATATATGATTACATTTAACTTCAGACAAAAAACTGACAAAAAGAAGTTTTTTAAAAAGTCCTTTTAGTTTCTAATTGTTTAGGAGGAACATTTTTCTAATCAAAATTGTCCCACCTAAGGAACAAAGCCCAGAGTGTTATCAGTACAAATTTTTTAGTATTTCAGTAGACCACAAGGCAATGTACACAAACACACACATCTACAGTATTTTTTCTTAATGAAACCTAGTCTGTGTCTCACCCCCTATCCCCTCCCATTTAAAACTCCACCAAAAAATACTGCTTCAGAGCACTTTTAACATCAAAAACATTGCAACTTAAAAAGAAAAGTTACCACAGGAAGTATGCATTACTTAAATTTAGATCAAAGTTAAAATGACTTAAAAAAAACAACAGTGATTCTTTCTCCTCCTGCTCTCCTTCACTAATTCCAAACACAGATTATTTGTATCTCCTATTAAATACACATTTATTGGAGACTTTTCTTTGATTTCAAGGGAACACAAGTTTTTTATTTAGTGAGATAAACTGTTAGCAAACCTGAGTACGCAGTAACTGTCTTGTTCTTTTGACTCAGCAAAGAGCCATTACCCGAGTGTGTGTTTAACCGATCACTAACTGATTAGGACAGGAAGTATTCTGGTGATGCTATTTTACCTAAAATAGTCTTCTTTACTGGGCAGAGTATTTAAACATTTGTTTCTAGGCACTTCATAACCAACAGGAAGTAATGACAGCAAAATTTCCAGTTTGTTTACCAACTTTGAAGTTATATACTTATTTACACAATAGAGTCCGTTGATACCCCTCCAAATGGAACTTATGTTCTTTCTAATGCTACTGGGCTACGTAGGATGAGGGTTTAGAAATAGTCTAAAAAATTTTTCTTCTTGTATTTGGTTCCATTAGAATGGCAAACTATATCTTACACTGTAGTATTTCCCTTCAAATGTGGTAAGTTAGATTACCATGTTTTAATAATTTTATTTTACGCAAATATAGTAAAATTACACTTTTTATTTAAAATTTTGAAAAGATGTTTAGTAATTTATTAGAATACTTGTGTTATTAAAATGCATGTGCTCTTTATGTTTGCTTCAGAGAACAAGTAATTTGACATGAAAAATTCATAAAACCAGAAAAATGAAAAATTAAAGAAATCATGTTCAATTTTCATTTTGTAGAACTTGTATGAAAATCTTTCTGACTCATTTTCTGCCTGAAATAGTTTAACTATTTCAATTGATGTGGCTAATTTGAGCATTCGAATAGATGCCTAAGCAAAACTTTGAAGTATCTTGGCAAAGCCTTATAAAGGAAGGCATCAATCTTTTTGTCTTGTGAAGAAATCATGCCTAAAAAGTGAAGAGGGGCTGACTAAAAGAACTTTGGATGAGAATTAAAGCTTACAAAATTTTAGGGAAGGAGCCCGACTGGTGTGGCTCAGTGGTTGAACGCCGACCCATGAACCAGATCATGGTTCAATTCCTGGTCAGGGCACATGCCTGGGTTTCAGGCTCCATCCCCACTAGGGCGTGTGCAGGAGGCAGCCGATCAATGGTTCTCTCTCATCATTGATGTATATATCTCCCTCTCCCTTCCTCTCTCTGAAATAAATTTTAAAAATTTTTTTAATTTAGGGAAGGAAATGTTAGATCAGAAACTTATTGTGATCAAATCCATCGCTTCCAAAGCTTGCATGACTACAGAAAAAAATGCCATATTTGTCCAACTTTATTGCTGAACAACCAAAGGAGTATAGGCATTTTGAACTTCATTTCCTTGAAGAGAAACATTTAAAGTAAACTTAAGACAATTAGATGAGCATTAAATGTGTACTCCAAAAATTGACAAGAATAAATGCAAGCAAAGCAGTATTATCTCATGGGGAAAATTTCATAGTGTATCTTTCTGAGCGCACACTAAATGAACTCAAATAGTGTCAGTAGTTAAATGTCTACAGCCTATTCATTTTGACTCTAAGACCAAGAAGTTTCTGCATGGCTTTTAAACTCATTATATTATACACAAGAGTAGATTACAAAGGAAGAATCCTGAATTCTGTCACTAGAAGTCTTTGAAACCTGATTTTTATTTTTCTGTTTGAGATGGCTTAAAGGATAATTTCATTTTAATGGAAACAGTAAAGGTAAAAATAAAAGGCAGGAGCCTAGACCCAGACTGTTGTTAATTGATAGTACAAAAACTTTCCTTTACACATATTGGGTTGAGGGACAATATATTTATTTACACAATAGCAATGAGGAAAATGATTTATTTTTTATGATTGTTTATATGAACCTATTTATTCTGGATGCTTCTCATCCAAAGTAGTCTGCAAAGCTTTCTCAAGAAGCAGCTTTATCACTTAGAACAGCCACCTCATTCACCACCATGCACACACACACACACACACACACACACACGCACACGCACACGCACACAATGGTCTTCCAGGGCCGCTTTCTGAAGTGCTCTACAAGGCAGCAATTTCCAGGGCGGTTTTGGTTTCCTAGGGCAGCCACACACTTCCCCAGGTTGTTTGGACCTCTTCTAATCACAAGCTTTTTTTTTATTTTTATTGATTTCGGAGAGGAAGGAAGGGAGAGACAGAGAGATAGAAACATCACTGATGAGAAAGAATCATTAATCGGCTTCCTCCTGCATGCCCCCTACTAGGGATCAAGCCCGCAACCTGGGCATATGCCCTTGACTGGAATCAAACCCAGGACCCTTCAGTCCGCAGGCTGACGCTCTATCCATTGAGCCAAAGCAGCCAGGGCTAATCTTGAGCTTTTTCATGGCACCACTATAAGGATATCACACGTTTTTATGAATCATTTATTCTGAGAAATTATAGGAATTTCTATAAGAAATGTAGTTGATCCTGGGGAAATGTTTTAGATTACAGGTTAATATAGTGAAAAGAAGTCATCGGGTTGACAGAGTGGCCATTACTGTGTTCCAGGCAGTTGTTGGAGAGCAATAAATGTTTACACTGCTCTTTATACTTACGGATTCAGCAGAACGTGATACAGATAGATGTGTAATGGACTCACTTTACATGTCCCTCTAACTTACACAAAATCGTCTGTATGCATTCAGAAAGGAAGAAGAGGCGGCTTTTAAATGGTTAAATAGTGTGAGCAGTTTTGCCACCATTCCGCCCGCTGAGTATGAGCCCTAGTGCAGTGATGGTGAGGTGCGTGACAGAGTTCACCCGGGTTTGGTTCCCTGTGCCTGTAATAGTGTGAAAATGCAGCACCAGGCTTTCAAGTGCAACTTCGTTACCGTTTAGGATTCAGCCAAGCAGCCGTGTGCCTCCTCTCAGCAGGAGACACCGGCTCTGTTGCCCTTGGAGGGGACATCCAGTGAGGTGCCTTCCTGGGACTGTCAAGGGGTGCCAACTGTGGAACCTCACCTGAGATGTGTCTCTCTCATGTTTGTGCTTCTGTCTTTTGTTAGAAATGAGTGAGTGGCTAACCTAACCAGAAAGTCCTCTTATAACCCAAGAAAATGGATCCCTATTATATTTGCCATAAATTGCAAAAACATTAACAAGTCCAACCTCTACATGGGAAATAGGATTGTACATAGAATAAAACTGTAAGCCCTTCTGCTTAACTGTGCCTCATGTTGGAGGTAAGCGATTTCATTAGAGTTGCCAGTGTACACAAAAGGGTTAGTCACGGTCAAGGATTCAAAGTCCATTCAGTGACTTTGGGGAAATTGCCTAACTTATACTTACGTTTTTCTACCTACACATCAAGGAAATCATTCTTACCACTTTCTTCACTAGAAAGTAACCCTCGTGCGTAACTTAGCCATTTTCTAGTGTGATTGGCACTGTCTGGTTTTAAATACTTGGCACATAGGTAGGTTCTACTTAAAAGAATATGGAAATTAGTTGGGCTTGCTGGAAGAAAACCACCAAGAATAACATGGTGGTGATATTTACCTTATTATTTTTATGTTGGTAACTGAAATGAAATTAGATATGGCTTCTGTGAAGTCAGTTGATAGGTGCTGTGTCTAGGAACAACCTGTTTTCATCCTGCTTCTTCCCTACATATTGTCACCTAAGCTGGTGAGTGATGAGAAAGCCAGTGTTATTCGAAACTGAAAGTACAAGCAGGAAAAACCACCAGTCAAGTTGAAAGGGCAGTGCTTAGCTGTCATGGTTGCCGTTGCTGCGAGCTGATTTTGTGTTTTACTCCCCCTGCTCTTAAAAAAAAAAAGTCCTGCCCGGTCAGCATGGCTCAGTGGTTGAGCATCCACCCAGGAACCAGGAGGTCACGGTTCGATTCCCTGTCAGGGCACATGCCTGGGTTGTGGGCTCAATCCCCAGTGTGGGGCGTGCAGGAGGCAGCCAATCAATGATTCTCTCTCATCATTGATGTTTCTATCTCTCCCTCTCCCTTCCTCTCTGAAATCAATAAAAATATATTTTTTAATTTAAAAAAGTCCTAAAAGAGAATCACCATTTACTAAGTACTGATGACATGTAAATTTGGATCAGATTTTCTAACAGCATTTATTACTGTTGTCATTTCTTAGGGAAATTAACTACAAAACCTAGATCTGGACTGTAAGTTGTTGGTTCATTAGAAGTAAGTTGTTGGTTAATTAGAAATATGCATTCTCGCGATTAATTGAATTACTAGCATAAAATAAGGGGGAATTTATAAATTGCCAATGAGTCATGATGCTGGAAGAGACCTGTCTTTCTATTTTAGCCGTCTCTCTTTTTACAGAGGAGGAAATTCAGGACCAAGAGATTAAGTTATATGTTCTTTGTCAATTTAATTTTTTAAAAGGTGATCAATTGACTGTTGAGCCTGAGGTGGGCATGTGTCTACATATTTTACTTGGCTGGGGTGCCTTGGACCAGCTAGGTCTGTAATTGCCAGCAGGCCTGTGGTGCCCATGCTCACAGTGGGGCGGGATAAATTCTTCTGTCGTTTACTGCAGCCTGGCAGCGAGCTGGACAACTTGGAGGAGATTTTGGATGATTTGCAGAATAGTCAATTACCACAGCTTTTCCCAGACACGAGGCCTGGCGCCCCTGCTGGATCAGTTGACAAGCAAGCCATCATCAATGACCTCATGCAACTCACAGCTGAAAACAGCCCAGTTACACCTGTTGGAGCCCAGAAAACAGCACTGCGAATTTCCCAGAGCAGTGAGTATGAGATATTGATGGTTATGCCATATAATCATCATCAGAAACAGGGATTATTAAAATCTGATGCAAACAGCTTAGTCACTTCAAGGTTTTTATGGTCAAATAGCACCATCTACTGTCCTGGTACTTCCCAACAGTATTCAGAGTGGATTCTTGTGAACGTGGCTTCCCAGCATTCCCTGTGGTCGATTTAATCAACATGGAGTGAGGTTGGCTGACCCACATACATAAAGTTCTTTAGATGATCTTCATAGTTCCCTACATTTCAGCTACTGCCCTCAGAAATGGAGCTTAAATAGATTTTATGTTTTAATATATAACTGAACACTTAAAATGTAGGAAATGAGAAAGTTATGCTGACTTTTTAAGAATAATATATTACTAAAAATTCTCAAAATATTTAATCATTATATGTGAAAGGGCTACACACATTAAAAACATCTTGTCCTAGCTCTTAGGAATCCTCATACAAATATCAATTTTACATGGAACTTTATCATACAAATGTGTTCTAAGTGCATTTTAAGTTTGGTTAGTTTGATAGACTATCTTAAGTACATTTTTATCATTTATTTTACTCTTTTTATTTTAAATTTTATTTAGGTAAGTTTAAGATGAACCTTCACTATGAACACTTAGTTTACAAACTTGATAGTTGCCTCAAGTTGCCCAATAGTTTGAATGGAAGAAAAACGTTTCCTGATCCAGGGACATAATTTATAGGAAGATAGATAACCTCCTTAGAGTTACATTGGTGAATG